CAAAATATTTATCATTAAAGAGTTATTGATTGTATACTTTCGGCCCCTAATTTAAGGGGTCAGACCCATTTCCTTGATATCACCTTTAAGCGCTCATAATTTTGAACACTTTTTGTTCAACAACTAGTCAGAAATTCTTTTTCGTTTCTGAAATATTTGCAAAAGAAGTATTTAGGGGCCGGCCCTTCAACTCCTTAATGGGGACGTCTAGCAAAAAACGAAAGGTTGCATATTGTTTAGAACATTATTTTGAATATCTTTTGTTCAATATTGCTTATCAAAATATTTCCCACTTTTGAGATATAAAGCGTCAAAAATTTAGCATTCTGGCCCCTTATGGCCCCTAATTATGTAATATATGATGAGAATATCATAATATATAGTTGTAAATTGTTGAAATAAACATTTTTGCTTCAGTAATGCATTGCAAAATATTGATCATTAAAGAGTTATTGTTCAAAGATTTTCGGCCCCTTTCAGCCCTTATTATGAAGGGCCAGGCCCTTTTTCTTCATATCACTTTAAAGCTCTCATGATTTTAAACACTTTTTGTTCAACAACTAGTCAGAAATTCTTTTTCGTTTCTGAGATATTTGCAAAAGAAATATTTAGGGCCGGCCCTTCAACTCCTTAATGGGGACGTCTAGCAAAAAATGAAAGGTTGCATATTGTTTAGAACATTATTTTGAACATCTTTTGTTCAATATTGCTTATCAAAATATTTCCCACTTTTGAGATATAAAGCGTCAAAGATTTAGCATTCTGGCCCCTTATGGCCCCTAATTATGTAACATATGATGTGAATATTGTAATATATAGTTGTAAATTGTTGAAATAAACATTTTTGCTTCAGTAATGCATTACAAAATATTGATCGTGAAAGAGTTATTGATTTAATACTTTTGGCCCCTCTCGGCCCCTTATATGACAAGTCAGCCCCTTTTTCTTGATATCATGATAAAGATCTTGTCATTCTGCACAAATATTATTCAGTATGTTTTAACAAAATAATTATACTTTAAAAGATATGATACAAAATGTCTAAAAAATTCATTCATGATTCGTGTCCTAAATTTCGACCCCTACCGGGCTTCCATACTAGGCACTTCCGGAAAATATCTAAACCCAGGTGCATAATGGTAACATGTCCTCTATCATCACTGAAAATTTCAGCGCTCTAGCTTAAGCCGTTTTTGAGTTCCATCACAGACAAGGAGGTCCTCTGAATTTTAATAAAAGGGCGATAACTTCCGACCGGAAGTGATTTTTCAAATTTTGAAATGCCGGTACAAACTTCAGATGATAAGACATGAACTCTGAAAATTTGAAGTAAATCGATCTATTCATCTCCGAGAAATCTTCTGCACAAAATCGGTAAGGAGAAAAAAAAGAAGAATAATAATAAAAGTGAAAAAGAAACATAAGAATAATAGAAGGGTCTTCCGCTGAAGACGGAAGACCCTAACAAGAAGGTCTTCCACTGAAGACGGAAGACCTTAATAATTTTAACCATCAGAATCAGTAGAAGGTCTTCCATTGGAACGAAAGACCTTTAAAAAAGAATCACTATAAGGTCTTCCGGGAGGACGGGGAACCTTAACAATAAATAAAAATGAAATTAAATGAATAAAATATTTAAATGAATTAATATAATTTATAAATAATTAAATAAAACAAATATGTAAAAATAAATTAAATTGTTAGTTAAAATAAATAAATAAAAAAGAGGAAAAAATAGATTAATAAATGAAAAGAAATAAATAAAAGGACACATATATAAATCAAATTAAATTAAATTAATGAATTTACTGAAGATGCTTCAAACAAAAAAACTAGTGACAAAATCTGTATCATTATTTATTTCTTTACTTATTAATTTATATATCTATCTATTTATTTATTTTTTATCTATTTATTTATTTAATATATTCATTTTTAATTAGATATTTGTTTCATTCAATAATTAATTATCTAATTAATGCTATTTCTTTATTTCTTTTTTTTTTTTTTTTTTTTTTTTTTTTTTTTTGTTAATTCATTTTATTTTATTTTTTTTTTTCAATTCCTATTTAATTGTGTAGTTCAACATAAACAATTTTAAGGAAAAACAAACTATTCTTCAAACTATTTTTAGGCATATTCACATTTCTTTTGATTCTTTTAAATTACTTTCAATTCTTTTAATTTCATGATGGTTACATGTATCATAATAATCGTCTAACCACACACAATCTGAATTCGGAATTTGTTTTATTGCTTCTTTTACTTTGGTACAAAAAAAAAATGAAATGTTCCTCAAAAACTGTACGGTTGTGAAAGTAGTTCTGAACTGTTGATAGTTGAACAGTGACTCTGGGTACACAGACCAAACACCTATTGTCCTTTTGACTAACCACTATACATTGTTCATTCTGTGGCAACCTGACAGTATCCACTTTGCAGTTGTCATTTCTTTCACAAACGTGACAAGTTTTTGAGGAAATTTTTATTTACCAAAGTAAATGGGAGCAATAAAACAAATTCCAGATTCAGGTCGTGCGTAATGAGACGATGATTTTGATACCCATCATGAATTTAAAAGAATTGAAAGTAATTTGAATATGCTTAAGAAATAATTTGATGCATAATTTGTTTTACCCGGAGACTGCGTGTGAAGAACTACACAATTTGAATTAAATCAAATTAATCAATGAATAAAAATAAATGAAATAAATAACATAAATAAATTAAAAAAAATAAATTAATTAATTTGTTTATTGATAATTAAATAAAATAAATATGTAAAAATGAATTAAATAGGTTAAATAAATTGAATGAATAAATAAATGAAGAAAAGAATAGATAAATAAGCAGACAAATTAATAAATAAACGGTTACATGAATAAATGAAATAAATAGAAATACATTTACATGCCATTTATGCTACACAAGACGCAAGAAATCAGTAATTTATTCTTATTAAATTGAGTGACATTTATTCTTTTTAAGATTAATTCGAAAAGCTACCAAAGAACGAAAATAATCATGTTTTGAAAGAATTTACTAAAAAAAAAAGATATATCAAACAGGAAAAAATAATGATTAAATCTGTATTTTCACAAAACTTGAAAATAGCTAAGAGTAAGGTTTCCATTTTTTTCGAAGTAAATAGCAACAAAAACATATTTTAAGCCTTTTTTCTGGGTCAAAATGAATGTCAGTGGACGATAGAAAGTTGACAGGGTGGTCAGGGACTTAGTCAGGGGACATCAGGAAGTTGACATAGACGTCAGAAAATGTCAGGGTACATCAGGGGTTAGACAGTGGTAACAGGGGCAAAGTCAGAGGACGTTAGGGAGTAGACAGGGTACTGAGGGACAACGACAGGGGTTCAAAGGAGTAAGTCAGGGGGAGACAGGAAAATGTCAGGGACTGACAAGGGAATGTAAGGATTTTTTTTTTTTGGGGGGGGGGGAGGTCTAAGGGGAAAATCATTACAATAATGAGAGGGATTATGAACCTTAAACACTGGAAGTTAAAGGAATTTTCTTTAAGATTTTAAAAACTAATTTCTAGATGTAAAAAACTAGATAAGTGAATTTGCTAAGCAACCCCCCTCCCCCATGCTGCAGGGCCTTTTTAATAGTAAAAATTGACTGAGGCCACATGTGGTGCTCAAAGCATGCTAAAATATACGAAAAGAATCTCCAGATATCAGAACAGTTGCATGACAAGAAATACATGATGATATAAGATACCAAAGAAAGACGAGATACTCTGGTTGGCTAGACTGAAAGAAGTAGGAAGTTAGAGAAAAGTAATCGATATATGTGCAGTAAGACCCTGTGGGGCTTGCAATAGAACTTATACCCGCTACGAATACAAAACCAGTGGTGGTGATTTGCTTAGATTTTTGAGTTAGGAACAATCCAAGGGAAGCTTCGACAATATTTATTAGTAATAACTGACCATTGCGGCCTAAGCAATGCTACATGCCCCATAACCTGATGTTTGGTCGGTATTCAAAGCTTCCCTCAAATGTATTATTTGGAATAGACTTAGATCATGAAAAAGATAACCAGGAGTATCACCGGATAGTTCACACAATGAAAATTATGGAAGTAAGATCAATGAGACCGAGAATTCGGGATGAATTTACCGTAAGCTCATCAGAACGACCTAGATGATCAAGAGCCTCTGGTGTAACGCATACTTTTTATCCAAGTATTTCTCCTTTATTTCATAACTGTCCTTACTTTCAGTATTCAGTTTTTTTTTTTTTTTTTTTTTTTTTTTTTTTTTTTTTTTTTTTTTTTTTCGGGATTTCAGTATTTCATTTTATAATTCAAGTCCCTCAGAATTCAGAATTTCAGAATTCGAGATATTCTAGACCGACAATTTAAGTACATAACGTGTTAGGAGGAAAAGCATCTGGTAACAAGAAAGGGGGTATTCACGCGTAAGTTTTCTTATCGCGTACTAAGTGTAAATTTACCCCCACGCTTGAATTTCCACATTTACAGTACCTCTGAGGTCAGGAGGATTCGATTGATTGATTAATTGTATATTGCTTTGAGTTAAAGAATTTTCACTCATATATAGATGTCACCATATACCGGTGAAAGGCTTCAAATTTATACCTTTACTCGGCACTCAGGACCACTGCGTAGTGAGGATTCTTTATCGTGTCAAAGCCTACCGTGACACGGTCTCATACAAAAGACCCGCAACTTTCACTTCCAAGTGCCGAGTGATTGTCAAAGGAACAGTTGCTACCTATTTTTTTTTTTTTTTTATCGACTTAGGTCAGTCGCGGTCGTGATTCGAACACACGACCTTCCGATCCCTGAGCCGGCGCTCTACCAATTGAGTTACCGTTACGGTTAGGAGGGATCTATGGGGGTATTTTTAATCCGAATCTGCCCCACTTTATTCTTTACTGTTTCACTAATTAGTCTATAAAATTTAGCGGGTTCATAATATTCAGTAATCGTTTAAAAAATTCATTCTTTTTCTTGCAGATTTGGAACAAATTTAGAGCTGACAAAAGGATATCTTTAACAATGAACCCAGATTCCGTTTTGAATTTTTCTCCTAATTTTGAGACAAAGAGTACAAGTTACCGTGAAAACACTCGAAATCTTACAGTTATTACGGCTTATTGGAATCTTGGAACATTTCAGAAAGGATTAACAGGAGCACATTTTTCGACGAACACTTATTTTTCTTGGGCGTTCACATTTAAATATCTCTTGAATCAACTTGTTGTTTACACAGACATGAAAGAATTCAAAGAATTAATAGAAAATTTACGAGTCGATCTGATAAATAGTACAAAAATTTTCTTATTAAATCGGACAGATGTTTGGCCTTTTCAACTTAAAGAGAGAATGAAAGTTATTTATAGTCAACCTGGCTATCCAAAATATTATCCTAATACAGTTAATCCAGGATATACAGCAGCGCAACATGCGAAATATGCAGTTGTAGCTAATACTGTGAGGAAGGGAATATTTCGTGCTCCTTATTACGCTTGGCTGGATGTTGGGTATTTTAGAGATATTGCAAAGAGAAAAGTTTTTTTTGAATTACACACCCCAGAAGGATTTGACCCAGATAGATTAGCTGTGAATCGAATAAATGACCTTTCAATGAATGTAGATCCTTTCAATATATTTAGAAACAATGATGTTTGGGTAGGCGGTGGAATGTTTCTAGGGAGTGGAAAAGTAATTCTTGAATTTGAAAAATTGTACCACAAAGCAGTGTTGTACTTTCTTGAACAAAAAATAATGAATTCCGACCAGCAAGTGTTGTATGCTTTGTATAGTAAAAAGGGTAGAGAAGCTCTGAAGCCCAATCTTGAACTTCAGTTGTATATTCCCAAAGGATCAGGAAATCCTTGGTTTTATCTAGGATACTTATGTGTAAATGACGTATTGAAGGAAAGAAAAATTGAGAGACAGATAGGGGAAGAGTAAAACCACTATTTCCTGAAATACTTTAGATGATGAAGTAATGAAATAAGTCACTGTTGTTGTTGTTTTGTTTTTTTTTTAAATATTTCTATTTTGTTGTTGTTGTTTTTGTTTCATTTTTTGAGGTAATTCATCAGTGATATTAGATCATTGATAAATTAATGAAATGTGCCTAATAAATGTAAATCATTCACATGCACAGAATGGTTAAATTAGATATTTACTAAGTCATTAAAATTGATAATCAATTTCAATCGGTCTTTGGATAAAAATTGTTTGTTTTTTTTTTTTATCTATTTTTTTATATTTCTTTTTGACATCATAGACAGCTGCTTTTTTTTTAAATAAAGATGGAAAAAAAAATCTTACCTTGTCATTGGTCATTTTCAAAATTTTTCTGTTAAAAACATTCTGAATGTACATGCAAGTATTCTGAAGTTGGTATTATAAAGATGCTTGAGTTTCTGATTTGCAATATCTATGTAGTTTTAGGATATCAGGTATTCCAACAATCTTTTGAAAATCCCAGGTGTACCATTTGCGCCCCGTTACTAACAGACCTATTTTTGCAATCATATCAAGTAGAATTTATTCAGAATATACTACACGAGAAGAAGAAAGTGCTTGTTGTGGCCTTCAACTCGACATTTAGACATATCGACTACGTATTATCATTTAACGATAGTTACTTCCATTCATATGTCGACTCGATATATCCCAGTGAACTTGAAATAAAAGGCACCATAGAGTTTACTATAAAGAGACGTTAATGGTAACCTAACAACAAAACTCTACGGTAAACGTGATGACCTCAACTTTTCCATTGTCAAGTCCCCTTACTTGTGTAGCAATATACCATTATCACCTGCATATACCATTATCACCTGAGGTTTATGCTTCCCAGTTGATTCGATACGCAAGAGAATGCTGCACGTACGATCAATTTTTTAAACGACTCAAGCTATTAACCAACTAGTTGATGGAACAAGGATATCAACAGTCTCGTTTGAAGTCATTATTTCGCTAGTTCTACGGTCGATACAATGCCCATGTCAGCAAATACAATCTATCATTACTTCAATTCCTGACTGATGTTTTTCATGCCAGTTCTTAGGCCATTATTTACACACTGAAATTTCTATGGATTTTTCCGTTAACAGATCACGACAAGAGCACATGGCGGGAGTGACCGGTTCACACCTACTCCTCCATGGCACCTGATACCCCCTCTGATGTTTTTAAGGTCCGTGTTTACTTTGAATTTTATGTTTGCTCTGCTTCCGATTTGTTTGTTTAAATGAAATATGCGTTTGATTACTGTTCGTTATCTCCATATTTCATTCTCCCTTTTACCACAGTTCAATTAAAGTTGACATGAAACTTCACACTTCAGCCACAGCTTTCACTTGCAATGTGAAGGCAACAAATTGTAATCAAGCTCAAATATCTAATGAATTCGATTTTGCCAATACAGACATCAGTCATGAATCATACCTTACACCTTTTTTTGTACGTCTGCAATGTCTTATTTGTCAATTGTCATATTTTGTAAAAATATTCAATTTTTTTGCGATGTAATATTTTTGAAATTTCATAGAATAACCACAAATTTTAAATGACATTATCTTTATATTTCTAAATATGTAATGGAATATTAAGACGACAATTTGTTAAAGTTTAATAAAAATGAAAAAAAAAAATGAAACCCCTACCCAACGACCACCACCCCTTTCCCGCAAATGTAAGTAAGTCAGGAAAAAGTAAAATCAACTTAAAGAAAAATATCAGTGGTGTTTATATCCAAAATTAAGTTGGCAGTGGCTATTTAAATAGGTAGAATAAATTTCATATTTTTATTGCAGGGGTAGTTTATGCTAGATTAAATGATTACCCAATTTCTGGCAATTAAATCATATTAAGAGCCATTCTCTGTAACGACTTGAACTTTTATATAGGAGCTGTGGCACGCATAGTCGCAGAATTTCTCCAAACTCTCTATGATAAAAGCCTTTGATACCGTAAACGCAAATCAGGCAGAAATTGGTTGCTACGTGTCATGGTTACCATGACAACATTTCCTAAGGTTTGAAAAATGGCATTTTTCAACATGTTCAGAATCCCACAGTTAACGTTTGCAGCAAAGCAAACAAGTGGCAATGATTGTTTCTAAAAGTTGAAGGCCTGATGTCTTAAATGCATGATAAACATGTTTGGTAAATCAACTTTTACATACGCTACTATGGAAACAAAGTATTTGAAAGTAATAATTTTGCTCATTTAATTTCATAAAATCATACACAGAATAAAAAAAAATATTATAGGTTGAAATGCAAGCAAATAATAGACAAAAGATCCTTGTAACATATACCAAGGAAGAAATGTGATATTTCTTATAGGTTGCAATGGTTACCATGGTTTTAATACCAAGAAGGGATTTAAAATTTACTCTCTTACTGTTTAAATCTAATCCTATCTTTTTAAAAAGCATATCTTTATATAACTAATGATCAATTTTTAAAGACATTCGTGTGACCCTAATTTTCACATTTCAAAAAATTCAAATTCAATTCTTAAGTAGAGCGTTGCTATGGAAATAAGCCGAAAAAAATGCATAAAAATCTGAACAATATTCTGTTTCCTTGGATACGTACTCTTGTATGCAGATTCCCAAAACTTTTATGATTGATAATTATGAACAACTAATTAACCTGACTTTCAATTATGACTGCCACCCAATTTCTAACTGGATGCAAAAAGCTGGCACATAGGGTTATATATTGATATATAATTAACAAAATCGAACATTTCCCTACTTGGTTACCATAGCAACAATGTTGTATTTTTCAACAAACGTTATCAATATATGATATTCAACTTTAGTTCTACCAGATAAGTGCTATTCAAGGTGAGTCAAATAAATGTTTCTTGAATAAAAGGTAAGTAAATTACTAAGGCAGCAAAAAATATCACTTTAAACAACTGGTACATTGTTTCCATGGTTACACTGCAAAGTAAAAATTAATCCCAATTTTTCTTATGTTGTCGGTGTTGCAAGGTCCTAAGGATGTATGTGTGCCAGTCATGAATATTATTGTTTTTCCTGAAGATAGTAGCATTAACTCAATCTTAGCAACATATTTTGCATGGTAACACTGTGTTACCATGGCAACCATGACAGTTATTTTTAGAATAATATTGCCAATACCTAATTACTTAAGGTTAAACATTTTTATTGTTTTTCTTAAGTTGTTGATTGAGTTTGACCATTTAACACCTATCATTAGTGAATATTGAGCGTTTTTCTGCATTTTTCAGCATCTAAAATGTATTTCAAATGTACCCATGGTTACCACTTATTTAGAGATAAATTCTAAATAGTTTCTTTATAGCATAAGTGGCAACAAGGTGTCAGGTTTTTGTGAAAATGGTTTGTTTGTTTTTCTTAGTCTTTATTAAGACATAACAAAGATTCAAAGTAGCTGAAAATCTCAATTTTTCCAACTTTTCTGGCTGTTACCATGACAACCAAGACACATAGCAACGAAATTTTATTTGAAATATGTTTCTGGTGTCAAGTTGTAATAATGGCAAAGTTTCATCAAAATCGGTGACCATGCGTGGCAAAGAAGTTTAATTGGTTACAGAGAATCGCTATTAACTTTTATTTATATTTAACCTTTCAATCTTCTCTTAACCAGTGATATTAGCTGAACAGAAATATTATAAGGATATAGAATATGTTCATAAACTACATACTTCAAGTCAAGTTTTGTCTATGTCTCAAAGGCTTTGTCAAGGAAATCTCTCTAAATTTTACGACACAGCTATCCTGACCAAAGTTTCTGAGTATCTGAAAACAACTCAGAAACACTAAAACTTTTCAGCAGCAAAATAATAGAAACTCACTTTTGAAATCTATCGCTCAACTACACAACTCTTATTGAATAAAGTGGTGGATTTGGTATATGTGTGAAATTTTCAGAATAAATTTCATTAATGTCAATTATATCTATTTTAAAATTATATGATACTGTAAACGTGGTTATTTTGACGAGTTGAAAAATTGAAGATTTTTTGTTTTCGAAAATTGACGAGTGTTAATTTTTACGAAATATTGAATCAAGAGCTACGTATCTTTGATTTCATAAGATTAAAACAGAAATGAATGTAAAGAACTCCTCAAAAAACGAGTTTCAAAACTGCTACTCAGAGTAAGTTCGCCAGAAACTAGAGGACCAAAAATTTTATGGAAACATTGGCTTAGTTGACTTGAGAACGTCTACGATTAAATAGCTCTATGCTAGTTCACGATGTTAAAAGCAAGGACAGCGACTTCCTAGGAACTCATTTACAAGCGTTCTCATCAATAAAATTTAAATTTGCTTGTAAAAACAATCTACAGTGTATAAGATCTGATTGAATTAATTGCTCTTTTGTATTTTGTTTTCATTATACGAGACCGATTGCCTGAGGTGACAAAGTAGGTCAATTACGCAAAGTTAGAATGTTGTGACCATGGGTAATAATAGTATATGACATACTCAATGGTTTTTAAAATTGTGATTATGTTTTCATAACTATTTACAAAAAAAAAAAAAAATGAATAAATAAACAGTAACTTTGATCTAGTTTAAATGTAAATGGGGGAAGCCGAGAAAATTAAGCGGTAAAGTTGTAGAACGCTCAATGTCTGTTATGACGCTACATATATGATGTGAAGTTTGACGAGTGGAAATTTTGACGAGAAAAGAAAAATCGTCAATATAGTCAAAATTAGCACATCGTCAAAATTTCCACGTTTACAGTATATATACTGAAACGCAAAAAAAAAAAAACGCAACAAGCAGTAATCTACAAATATTTGATTTTTTTATCTAATGATTTTCAAAAATGAATACACTTAGGTAAAACTTGATTTGAAAACATCAGAAATTTGATAAAAATGTTAAATGTTTATTTTTTAACTTTAGAAAGTAACTCATGACTGTTAAAACACCCCACACCCAGGCCATTCAATTACAGCGTGCA